ATGGTGTGAACCACAACCATCACAACCATCGTCTTCATCTAATGATTGTGTCAATCGCCAAGTTCCTGACTATCCATATGAAAATGAAGGGCATCCAAAAAAAACTCCACTGTATCCAAAAGAACCGCTAATTCAAAGTTAAAATGTTACATATTGCAACTATTCAACAACAACAGCAAAATGGTCGATCGATAAAACATAATTTTTTTTGATTGTTATTAGATTAAATTGTATTTGATGAATTGGTTAGATTATATGATTTGCTTGATATAATAATTGTAATTCTATGTTGCCCTAAAGCTTCTATCAAACCATAAGCCTTTTTTGAGCAGTTCAAACGCCTATAAATGGGACTGATTTCTGTATTATTTCATACGAGTATTATACATTAATACATTTATGATAACTTAGCTAAGAGCAAAATAATTATACTCGGGATAAAGAAGTCTAATACGAATACTACCATAAATGGGAAGAAGAAGTAATATACACCAAGACCAATGAATTTATCAGCTATGTATTAGGAAATAATAAATACATAAGCTCCAAAAAGCAAATCATTTGAATCGATTGATTTAAGTATGAATTGATGGTAAAAACCACCACATAAGTCATAATGCTTGATATGGTGTATGGATGGTTATAGTTGGTCCAGGAGAATTACATTTTTGATAGAAATTCATGTAAAAATCAAAATTTAAATAATCGAGTTACAAAAAAAGAATCATGTTTTTTATACCAATTTGAAGATCAGATATTGTTTGTGTGTTGTGAGATCACGTCCGTGGTAAATACATGGCTTTAACTTTTCGATGATTTCAAATCATTTTCAAAATATCACCTCACTCCAATTCTATATCAATTCATCGTTCAATCAATACATAGCAATTCGTCGCTATCCTCATCAAATCACTTTAAATCAATTCAAAAATAGTTACATTACAGTATCAGTGAAAAGGATTAGGAAGATACTATACATTATCATGATTAGAAAAGAAATTAAGTTGAACAGTATTTGACAATGCTCAGAATTAAAGACTCATTGATACAAGTCGTAGTACTCAAAACCCTATCTAGAAGGGATCTCTCCAAGTTCCTCTTCTAATTTTCACATAAAGGAAACTTGTCACCTTCCTCTTCTGCTAACAAATTATTGTCAAGTATTCAAATATTACAGGTTATATAATAATAAATTAAA